GCTTAAAGAGAAAGCGCGTTTAGAATGGGTTAAGAGAGGAAAGAGCACTTTTACGGTAAGATAATTTGTATTTCGTTTCAGTTTTCAACCCTATCAGTCAGCGTAAACAGAAAGGCACATAAGGTAGTATTTTGCATTAATTATCTATGATTAGTTTATTAATTAAGAGGGTGAAAATTAAGCATAAGAGAGAAAATATCTTACCTACTCAGTGCTGGTATAAATAAATAGAGAAAATCAATTTCACAAGTATTAAAATCGATTTTGAGAGCATGGTGACATATTTAGATTTTTTTTGTAGAGAATAAAATCCATTATTAGAAAAATATTTATTCCTTTAAGTAAATTTAACTGGTATAGAATTTATAATATGTAACTTATTTAAATAATAAAGGTTGTTCTAGTTTGTTAATCAACTCAACATCTGTCAGAAATTTGATTTTTCTATATTCTTGAAAGAAATGCACATAGTGAGAGATGAAAAAAAAGAACCTTCATTTTTGGCAATATTATACTTTTGACACAAAGGTTATAGTAAATTATATTTTATTTTGTAGTCCTTCTTTTAGTATAATATGTAATTTATTGTCCTTTAGTGTGCATCATCTACATCAAAGGTGAAATGTCTTTGTTTCTCGTAAAGCACATAGATAAGAGTTTTTTTTTTTTTTTATTGTTATTTATTTCTCACCAACCCAAACAGCTTGGTGAGCATGACCTAATCCACCTTTTTTCTTCTCGTTACAATTCTATAAAGTTCTTTGAGTATTATTTTGGGTTAATTAGTTCTTTCAAAATAAAAATGCATTTTTAAGAAGTTCTTACTAATTTTATATATTATTATTTTTGGAGGAGTGGCACATGGCATTTTAATATTATTTTGGATTAATTTGTTTCAAGATAAGTCATGTGATATGTTTTGTTAGAAGAAAAAAAAATGCGAACAAGCATACTAGATTTGTAATTATAATTCATAGTATGAGTTCACATTTTTACTCATTTTCATGAACCAAACTAAGTGAAGGTAGCTTCTTTGTAGGTTGGATATTATGTCTTGATTTAATGAAGTGAGATCAAGAAAAAAAATTTAAAAGAAAAGGAAAAAAAAAACAGTCGCCACTACGTGCATGATTTAAAAGTTGGTCAAAAATGATTTGTCCCACATGCATTTTCAAGAAAAATATTGTATCTTAAATTTCAAACACAACCGTGGATAGTATTTAAAAAGAAATTGAGGTTATACTCGTTAAAGTGGAATAAAGAAATCTAATACATCGAAAAATTATATAGATATTTTGAAGATAATTTAATTCATCAAACTTCCAAGGTTAAGATACAAATCAAAAGAATAAGTGCATTCAAACGATCCCATTAATCTTCATTAAGATTAAGGTCAAATATGATAATTACACTCATGGATAAAGCACAAGTCATGTTAGTGAATTTTTTTTCAATTTTTCTAAAGTTTTCTAATCTCCAAAATGTTTAATTGCTTAACCAAAAAAAAACATTATCTTGGTACTAAATGAATAAGTTGTTTTTAACATTTATTCTCTCTTTTCTTTCTTTGTTACTTTTTAGTTAGAATGAGTGAGAATGAGCATCTGATCTCACATGTGAAGATAAATCTAAAATACATTATTAAATATATTACCAGAGGTATAAACAATCTTTAATTAATCTTTGAAGTATTTTGTTTGTACAAAAAGATTGTTATTTTTTCCAAGACACTAAAGATCCATGGTAGGTGGTTCTTCTTCTTCTTTTCTTTAGTTATTCTCTTATACATTTAAAGTCTAAAAATTAGTCACTAAGAGACATTAAGTTTGTGTTTAGATTTGAAGATAGATTTGGAAAAGTGAAAATGAGTGGATGTGAGGAAAAAAAGAGGTTAAAGTGAAATTGTCTAGATTAAGAAAAGGATGGTGAAAAATGAGAGAAAAGTTTATGAGTAATGTGATTGGTTTGGTAGATTAAAAAATATTTTAATTGATAAAATTGTAAGATAACAATTTTACTCTTATGTTTAAAAGTAATTTACAATAAAATTTTATTAGTGTAAATTATATGTTAAAATGAATTGTGAGTTGTTATTTACAATAAAATATTTTAATTGATGAAATTATATTATAATTTAGTGATATTGGCTTCCCATATTATAAGGAAAGATGAGTTATGAAGACACTAACTTATTATATTACAGGGAAAGGTGCACAATGGAGGAGTTGCGTTGGATGAAGTAGTGGCGACAAATTGATACAGTAGTTGAGGAGATCGCGTGCTTGGGTGGCGTGTAACAAAGTTGAGTATGTGACTAGTTTTAAGGAGGAAGTGGACAAGAGGAGAATCGATTATGGGAAACAAATATAGAAGAGCATCGATGGTGGGTAAACATATAAAGAGGAAAATTGATTTTGGAAGAAAAGAGAATTGATTTTGAGGAAAAAAAATGTAAAAGAGAATCTATTATAGGTGAAAATAGGGGGAGGATAATCGATTATTGGTGAGAGAATGATTGATTCTAGTTCAAAATAAAATGAAAGGTGAAATATAAAGTGGAAAAAGAAAATGAAGGGTGAAATGTGTAATTTAGTATAAGGTGAACTCACTTTCTCCCTTATTATTCTCACTCGAGTGAAGACACTTACTCCTTTTAATGTTGTAAATCCATGTCCTCATTTTCATTGAAATTACTTTATCTAAACTAAAAACACATTTGTTGTTCCTTCCTAGACTACAACACGTCAAATGAACCAAACACAAACTAACACTTGCTTGGTTGACACTTCATCTTGAGTCATGCTTATATGACACAATCTACCTGAACAAAAATAAAACCATCATTATGTATTAAATGTCATTTAATACATTTTATCAACTTTTTTTAATGTAATATTGAAATTTGTTTATCCATCTTTATTCATCTATATGCAAAACATATTAACATATAAAAAAAATATGTTTCTCCATTTTTTTTAACTCATGATATGTTTTTTTAATGGTCTTTTATTCAAATCTTTGTTTTTGCTTGTCACAAATAAATTCCTTATTCATAAATGTTGAAAATACAAGGCATACAACTTATAAATAACATTTATGGTCTCCATACCATTTAAATCTAATTTAAATATTAGTTTGTCTAATTCATCAATTGTTATTAATTAATATATTAGTGACTAATTTAGTATTTAATTCCTTTGGTAGTCAAAAGCTTGCAAGTTATTGTTAGTGACCAATTTATAATCTAAGTAATCATTAATTATATTATATTTTTTTATTCATAATAATGATTGTTTCGGGAGGTGGGGTTAACACTGGTCTAAAAGTGATGGAGTGCGTCAGACTGGATGGGCAAAGGTTGGTTGAGCACTGTAATAGATAGGACAGGATGTGTTGAAGATTAGCTAAGATACTTTGATGAGGTCGGTCGAGCTATGGAGGAACTTGGTCATGTTGTATAAGAGGTCGGTCGAGTTGTATAAGAGGTCGGTCGAGTTGCATAAGAGGTCGGTCGAGTTGTAAGGAAACTCAGTCGTGCACCATTTACGTCAACCAAGGTTGCTCGAATGATGTCTATGGAAGACATTATGATGCTTAAGTTAGTAGGTGACCCACAGTTATGAGAAAATGCATATTATGTGCTCATATCTAAAGTTATATATATGCCCTTTATTTATAATAATTGGGATTATTCTTTACCTTTATCGGTCTAATGACGATCCAATCATACCTTAATCTACATTAAGATGTTAAATAGTCATTCCCATTTATATGATCATTCACAAATCGTTCGCCCATGTTATTCAGTCTGATCATGCACAAACTGGTGGGCCAGGTTGTGGAGGAGGTCGACCATACTGTTGAGGAGCTCGATCGTGCTGTTGAAGATACTGGCCAAGCTATTCAAGAAGCTCAATCGTGCTGTGAAGGCTAGGCTGTTGAGGAGACTGACTGAGCTGTTGAGAAAATCGGCCGTGTTTTAGAGAAGCTCGACCTGGTTGTTAAGAAAACTAGTCAGGTTGTTGAGGAGACCCGTTAGATCGTTGAAGAGATTGACCGAACTATTTGAAAAACTCAGTTGTGGCATAAACGGCCTTAATAGAACTCAACCTTAAAGGGGTCAAACCTTACTATATAATTATTATTTTAAAGACAAATAATTTTTGGTTTATAAATCAGTATCTAAATTAGACATTTAAATAATAAGTTATTTTTTATCCTAAAATTGATTTCTATTTAAGAATTTTTTTAAGTGTTAAAGACGATTATTTTAAAGAAAAGAGCGATACACGTTAGTAAAGAACTTAATAAATATATAAATAATTTAAGGAAAAAATTAGAGTTTGAGTAAAAGTTAAGAAAGATTAGCAATATGATTAAAATAATAAATAACTCTTCTCTTTTTAAAATTATAAAATTTATTCATTAGATTTTATAAATAATTGTCTTGTCTTGTTACTATGTTTAGTTAGATATGGACATAATCTTTTACCATATTTGTTTTCTAACACGGGAAAATGAATATTTGGATGACATTGTAATAACCAATGTGCCAAAAATCCTATTGGTTCCTTTACTTTAGATCGTGGACTTGTATTATAAATAGAGAGTTCAATCTCTTGTAAACATATCATCGAATCTCTTGCAAAGATAATTGAACATCTTCTAATACATAAGAATCTCTCTGTTATTGAACTTTATGTCATTTTTCCTATATTTAAATAGTGATTATTCAGTTAAACTTAGCGTTTTACTTTACGGTAACATATTGTTTTTATGAATTAAATATGAGTTTAGTTTATAAATTTTGACAAAAAATTAAAATTTATTTTCTGATATTTTGATTTTCAAATTTCTAAAATAAATAGATATAATTATTTATACACTTTTTTAAAATAAAAACCAAAGATGCAATATCTTAAAAATGGCACCACCCGAAGAATTAAACTTATTTTGTATTTCCGAGCCATGCCGTCAAACGGTTAGCTCACTCTCTCTGCCCAACACGTAGCATTTCACATTTCAGAGTGTTCCCACAAGCAAAAACGTTTAAGGCCATTGTTCCACTCTCAACTGTCTCTCATATAAATGCGTAGCAACCTTTTGCGCCCTACTTTGAACATATCCCATCGTAGCCTCGCTTTTCTGCACCTGCCCTCACCCAAATCTTTCCCCGCGAACCTTCCGATTTCCTCTTCCGTCATGGCCTACCGCCCCAACTACCAAGGCGGCGGCCGCAGGGGAGGATCCTCCGCCGCCGGTCGAGGAGGCGGCCGTCGTGGAGGTGGTGGAGGACGTGGCGGACGCGGCGAGCAAAGGTGGTGGGACCCTGTTTGGCGCGCCGAGCGCCTCAGACAACAACAAGCCGAGGTGAACTCGAATTAAAATTTAAGCTAATTAATAATTTTAAATGTTATCAATGTTCCAAGTTTATTACTATGATTATTATATTCTATTATTATGATTAGTAGTAGTTGTTGTTGTAGTAGTATCTATTGTGGAAAAAAAACTGTTAGATATAGTTCTTTAGCTTTCTATGCTGTTGTTGGATGATGAGTGAAGTTGCAAGTTTCACTTCTGTCATCTACTACATCCTTTTTTCTAAACCCTAAACCTGAACCCTTTAATGCTATTTTGTCAATGCATGAAGTTTATTATTACTGAGTGTTAGAGGTAGTTGCTTTTGTGGAAAAATAATATTTCGAAACAGTTCTTTAGTTGCTATTTGTGTTGTCTGATTAAAACAAGTTTCACCTTGATAATCTGGGAAATCCTTTTAAACAAACCTCTATTATGCAGATTATCTAAGTAAGTCTCTCTGGTCTTGAATGCAGAACAGTATTGACAGTTCGTATGGAGCTGTATTTAAGTTTTTTTTTTTCTGTTGTGTTTGATAATGGGCACTGCAAGTTCTGTATTGCTTTTGATTAATATTTTGTTCAATTTATGTGATTATATATATATATATATATATATATATATATATATATATATTTATGCAGAAGGAGGTGCTAGATGAGAATGAGTGGTTGGATAAGATAGAAAAGATGAAACGAGGAGGGGAGCAGGAGATGGTGATTAAGCGTAACTTTAGTATTGCAGATCAGAAAACCCTAGCTGATATGGCCTATCAGCATGAACTCTACTTGTATGTTTACTAGATACTTTTAATTGCTTCATCATTTATCGTGATAGTTAACTGGAACTTTGATTTCAATTTTGTATTTATGATGTTTTACTTTGACTGAGGATGTGCCATTGTTGATAAGAAAAGAAAAATGAGCATGGACAATGACACCTAAATCCTGTTATACACTTAGAGAGAGATAGAGATAGAAGAGAGAAAAGAGATAATGGGTAACAGTGACTAGATAGAGAGAAATTGAGAGTGTCAACTAGGTGCGTAATACATTGCTGAGTAGGTGTTTATGCATCATTCCTCATGAGAAAATCAATGGCTAATGTTTGACTCCACTTTGGTGTTTGTAATTAGTTTGGTTTGATGTTACATTAATGTTGTTGTGTGAATTAGGAATGTTCCAAGTTTGGGGTCGGTTTGAGGATTAGGCTACCAAACCATACGGCATATTCTTGAAATCCATAAGCCAACTATGATTTCTGATGAATTGAACAAGTATGTGTACTATAAAAGTAGGTCACTGGGCAGATACAATGTGGACATAGATTTTCAGTTTAACAACTTGCAGACTTATTGTATAGATTTTCAACTGTAACAGGGAAGCAACTCATTTTAAACAATGGTCCTATTTATGGGATTATTTTGTTTGAAACAAGATAAGTGAAATGACCTTGTGTTGAAAATTGTGAATGTTCATGGTAGGCCAAACTGCAAGTAATGGTGGCCTGTTTGGGTTTGACGCTGGGGTCAAGCAGTCCACAACAGGACTTAGGCGATACTATCACTTTGTAAACGTAGTATATTTAAATTTAAAATCGAAGCATAAATTATTGGCTTATTTTCCCCTCCGTGACTGTGGTTTGGACATTTGTTTTTAGTTGTAATGAGCACTGAACCAAATGGTACTATAAACATTGTTTGGTTTGAATTTGTTTTAGTACTGTACTTGGTCCATACAGTTTTTGGGCTGCCTTAAGGCACATATTGTACTTATCATAGTTGTCAATCATGCACTATCATGGGATGGCGGAGTGGCCAACCCCTCTCTTGAGGATGTCTTTGCAGTTCGGCTTGTTGTAGCAGCTGTCATGCCACCATTTGCCACTGATATTGCAGAAAAATTGCAACCAAAAGTGGGTTTTTACCGTTGAAAATACCCTGAAACCAGTGTTATTATAATTTATAGGGGTTGACAACTGGTAGAAACATTTATTGAGTCTTAGCCTTTCTGCTTGTCAATCTCCTTTCATTGTGTAGCCTGTCAAGGGTACCTGCAGCTTCTTTTCTTGGGTGATCTATTTCTCTGAAAGAAGGGAAAGGAAGGTGATGGCGGATGGGATGGGAGAAACTTATTAGGTTTCTTAGGATTTTGGGGTTGGTGGGTCTTAGGCATGAATATAAAATCCCACTCTCTACCCTAAACAGACTATGATTTTATGTTTTGCCTTTTTATCAATCATATAATATGTTATTATTAGACTATAGGATACTCTAATATTTGAGAACACTTAAAATATTAACCCATAATTATATGTTAAAAATATTATATAATAGAGATAAAATATATACTAAATGAAGTTGAGCTGTGTCCCTTTCTTCCCCACTGCTTTGACTTCATTCATACTCTTGTCAGCTAAGTTAACATATAAATAAGAATTGTAGTAATTAAATAGAATTAGTATAGTAAATGTAGTAACTTAATTATAACAATAATAAACTAAAGAAAGCGTAACAGAAATTAATAAACAGTAACAAGAATATAATAAACTAAATAAAACATAATATAATGCAATAAGCTAAATAAAAAAAATGTAAATAATGTAATAATACGAAATATATATAGTAGCTTAATGTGTAAAAAAAATATAAAAACTATTAAACAATACATGTATTGTTGTGTAATGCAAACTATATATGTGTAAAAGTCTAAAAGATGATAATAGTGGTCATCCCGCTCAGCTGCTGCTATCTAGTATTGATTACTATGGTACTTACACTAACAATATTATGTTGGTATCTAAAAGTTAGGGCTAGGCAACTATAATATAACATGTAACATAAATGCTTAAATTCCTAGTTATAATTGAATTTGTTGGAAATAATCATTTCTGGCATAGAATTTGCTACATATCGAACATAGATTTAATGGTACTTGTGAACATGTTGAGCTTAATCTGATTTTTCTGTTTTAACTAACATCTTAATGGCTTGACTTGTACTTTGGGCAAAGAAAGCCATGCTTACAGTAAAGGGAAGATTCTCGTTGTTAGCAAAGTTCCATTGCCTGATTATCGTGCAGATCTTGATGATCGTCATGGATCAACACAGAAAGAGGTGGAGTGTACCAGTCCTATTTCTACTTCTTTCTGCATGTAGAATTGTACTAACTTTGTTAAGTTTTTGGCAGATTAGAATGTCCACTGACATTGAGAGGAAAGTAGGAAACCTTTTGAATAGTTCACATTCAATGGGGGCAGCGCCATCTAGTCTGCATTCTGTGTCAGCTGACCTTGGACATAAACAATCTGCAATCACAATAAAAACCGTTTCTTCACAACATACTGATTCTTTTAAGGAGAAACTTAGTGTTGCGCTCAAAGAAAAGCAAGAACTTGCACAGGTAGATAAGGATTTGGGAGTAATTTGATCAGAATCCAATATCATTTGTTTGCAATTTTGCATCCATTGTGCCAATTACTTGACTGCTTTATGATCTATTTTAAACTTATACGAGGATTGGATATTATTTATGTACAGGCAAGTGATAGCTTGAAGGAAATGAAATCATTTAGGGAGATGCTTCCTGCATTTAAAATGAAGTCTGAGTTTCTAAAAGCCGTTCAAGAAAATCAGGTTGGCAGATATTTCTTATTTATCATGACAAAAATGGCTTATTTACTGTAGTTTATTGACTTGATTCATTTAGTAAGTCCTTAGGAAATAATATCTATAGATCTTAATGGAAATAATGAAAGTCAAACTTCAATACTAGATCTGGGGGTCGAGTAAATTGTGAATATGAATGATACATGGTCTGTTTGGACTTCTTTTCCTTCTTTGTTTATTGCTGATCCTGACTTATCATCAGTTGAAGTCATTATTGCTTTGGCTCTGCAACAGCATAAAGTTTGGCTTGTGTTTGCACAGGTATTAGTAGTTTCAGGAGAGACAGGTTGTGGTAAAACAACACAGTTGCCACAATTCATTCTGGAAGAAGAAATATCGTGTTTGCGTGGAGCTGATTGCAACATAATTTGCACTCAGCCTCGTCGGGTATCTGCTATTTCTGTCGCAACTCGAATATCTTCTGAGAGAGGTGAGAGTATTGGGGAAACAATTGGATATCAAATCCGTCTTGAATCAAAACGTTCTGCAGATACACGCCTGCTTTTCTGCACCACTGGTGTTTTACTTAGGCAGTTGGTAATATATGATTCCTCTAAAACTGAAAGTATCCTGTTTTAAGATGCAATTCCTTTCCAAACTTGTTTATGTATAGGTCTTTCTTCTATTGTGTCTAATTGGTACTTGCCTGAGGTTTTTATGTTCCTTGTGCTATTTTCCCTACATTTTTCTTTGGCAAGGGTGGGGAGGTTGGATGCCACTTATAGTAAATATAAACCCATTTTTATAAGCCGCCTTCTAATAGGACAAGCTTTTGACTTATGCGAGAGTTGGTGATGATTTTGTATAATGGTCAGAATTTGTTTCCTGCTATCACCATTATTCCAAATAAAAAAACATGAATTTCAACAATAGGTTTGTTTGTGATCTTAGTCTTAAAAGCTCATGTAAGAAGTTAAATATGAATTTATAAAACTAATCATGATCCTTCACCTTGTAGTTGAAGTTTTTGGGACAGTTTTTGATTGCAAATTGTGGAGTGGTGCTTGTATAGAACAAAAATAAAATTCATTCTATGAATAAAGGCTAGAATAGTTAGGTGATCTAGACTGGTCTGTAACTCAATTGGAAAGAGGTAAATATACCGTTCAGAAATTTGCAGCTATATCATGGGATGTTGTTATATTCCTTGCAACTAGTGGCTTTGACTTGTCTTTACTGTATTTGTTGGTTAATAGGTACAAGACCCAGACTTGAAAGGTGTTAGTCATTTGCTGGTGGATGAAATTCATGAAAGAGGCATGAATGAAGACTTTTTAATTATAATTTTACGTGACCTTCTTCCACGACGTCCAGATTTGCGTCTCATTTTGATGAGTGCCACTATTAATGCTGATTTGTTCTCTAAATACTTTGCAAATGCCCCAACAATACACATACCGGTATGCATTACTTTTTATTTCATATTAAGAAGTTATTTTATTTTATTTTTATTTCAATACAAATAAAATATTCCTTTTTTATTTTTTTGGTCATATGTGCCAGGGATTTACTTATCCTGTGGCAGAGTACTTCTTAGAAGATGTGTTGGAGAAATCTCGATACAGCATCAAGTCAGATTTTGACAATTATGAGGGGAATTCAAGGAGGAGAAGCAAACAACAGGATTCAAAGAAGGATCCCTTGACTGAAATGTTTGAGGTATGCATATTTGAACTATCAATCGATGTATTTACAATCTTCATGATATATAAGATGCTTTGAAGTTGACAGTTAATAATGTCCTGTTGGATGGAAAGCATTTCTCAGCGTTCTAATATTTTTTCTTTCAAAAGTAAAAGATACTTAAGCTTGATGAACATTTTTGGTATGAACTTTCTAGCAATGTATTTACTAGTCTTTTCTATGAATAAGTTATTTATTCTATTTCTTGTTCATTGTGATTTTCTCCTTATGTGTTGCATGGTTCTGTTACTAATTGATTAACCTCTCCTGTAATCACAGTATGAATAAATGTACATAAGATGCTCCACATATTGTTATTTCAGGATATAGATGTTGATACTAATTACAAAAATTACAGCTTGGGTGTAAGAAAATCTCTTGAAGCTTGGTCGGGTGTGCAGATTGATTTGGGATTGGTACGTGTTTTCACTTTATTTTGTCAGATCAATCTGTGTTTTATGAATTTAATTTATCAGCTGTTGGCTAAATCTCTTTCATTTTTCTCTTTTAGTGTTAGAAACTATGTGTGAATTTATCTGGTCAAGAGGTATCAGATGTTTGAATTTTTTTGCTGCAGATGGTGTAAAAGTCTTTTGAAACAATAAGTGGTTGGGAGAACTGTGTTGTATGCTTCATCTTATATATACAACGAGTTCATCTTATGTGTAATTATTTCAACAATTGTGTTGTATCAGCTTGGATGACTAACTTTAGGGATAATTTACAGCTATAAACTATGGTAGTATGATATGCTACAGTCGACTAATATTTTAACATTTGCTAACTGTTAGATGTTAAGATGTGTGTTTCTGTTATTTGGGCTTAGTCTATTATGTATTAAGGGCATTGGTCCATATCTTACAATATAAATAAATTACCCTATGTGTATGCAACACACACAAGGGATATTCTCTCCCAATCTTCTCTATTTCTCATATGGTATCTAGAGCACAGGAATAGTTCCAGTCAACTCCACGGTCTCCGGCACCCCTCACTGCCGCTGTTGCTGCCGCCGTCGCCGTCGTCGCTGC